CGCCCCAGTGGAACCTGAATGGGAAGCGGCGAGTTGGTTGGTCGTCAGTGCCAGGGTGACATGGAGGAGGTCATGTGAAGAGGAGATGATGAAAGCATGTAGGTAGACGCGGAGCCAGATAAAAACATTGGCAGAGAACTGAACGCAATGGAGACGTGTGGCTGAAGCCCTATTTTCCCCTAGGAACTAAAGGAAACAATAATAAATATATAATAATAATAATAATGTTATGAGGGACAGGATAATCTGTTGTGGGAAGAAACTTATTAAAAAAACGGTTGCAGCGAAGAAAATTTTCCTTTCGATGAAGTCATCAACTAGGCTGTACATTCGTGTATTTATAACAAATGGGTGAGAAAGTTGTAGAATAATTTCCGGTTAAGGGTTAAATTAATAAAGTGACAATTAGGAATTAAAATGTCATAATAAACAGTTGGACGGATAAAACTCAAACAAAGTAGCATCATAATTACTGAAAAGAATGACATATTGTGCAATTGGGGGTTAGAAATGTAGAAAGAAACTTGTTTAGCTCCCCAAATCACATCTTCATAACTATCATTTGACTTTGTTATTTCATTATAGTTACTAGTCTAGCGTCGGTGGCACAGTGGTTAGGACTCTCGCCGACCATGCACGTGATCCGGGGTTCGATACCCTGCCGATGCACACCCGATATCTGTGGTTGTCCTGCAAAATTTGGGCTACCCATATCCATGTTGAAAATTCCATTCTTGTACTGAAACTACGATGTGGCATCAAGCTTTAATCAAAATGAAAAAAATAAATAATAATTCACTCCAAGTGGAATGCCAAGTTGTATCATCCTGGAAAGAATAAAAGATTCATTGGATGCAGAACTCCACCTCACCAACTAGAACAAGCTGGATTCAGGAAAGGCTTATCATGAGCTGATCAAATCGCTACTCTACACATCATCATAATCACAGAACAAAGTATAGATTGACATTCAAACCTGCGCCTTAACTTAATCGACTTCGAAAAGGCCTTCATCAGACAGCGTTGACCAAGAAGTAATTTGGAAACTACTTCAACACTACGGCGTGCAGTGCCCATGTCGTTACCAACCTCATTCATCACCTGTATGTCAATCGCACCTGTCAAGTGATCCACAGTGAAACACTCAGTGAGGCGTTCAAAGTGAATACAGTAGTAAGATAAAACTCCCCGCCTATTATCAACCATGATGATATTTCTAACTGTGATGGACATGAGGAACAACATAGAGGAAAATATCTTACAGCTAAATGGTGAAATGAGTAGAAGATATTATCAAACTAATGAGTATGATGAATTACAGCACAGTTACGTCATTATTAATAACAAACAAACAATAATCAAAAAAGGGAATTTGATAATATCAGACATTGTCAAGTGAGTAATAATAAAAGTTTTCAAGAGTTTGGTTTGTAAGGATTAGATTTGTTTATGCGAGTTGTACCACGGATTGATATGAGTTAGAGAAGCACTGAAAACCAGCTGGGGGAGTACTGGACAGCTGTTTCATTCTAGTTTGGGGATCATCTCTAACTGATATTAATCCGTGGTCAAACTCGTATAGACAAATCTAATCCTTACAAACCAAACTCTTGAGAATTAATCTGATGCTCGCTAGTGACTTGCTACAGGACGGAGTTTCCTGGAGTTCTAGTGAGAAGTTATGACCAGTGAGGTTCATTCAGTCAAGTGTGTGAGGATGGATATCCCACCAATGACACTGGTTGGTGGTCGCGTTAAATGCATCACAAATTGGTAGAAGTTAGAATTCATGGGTTGACCATTGAAGATTCTGGTCCGAGTGGCTGAATGGTATATGAGCTAGCTTGACTTGTAACCGGAAGGTCGTGGGTTCAAACCCTGGTGGTACGTCCATACTGCCGATGATTTCCGTGGTAAAACTCGTATAAATAATAATAGTGAAAGGAATTAAGCTAGAGGTAAAGAGTGTTTCTACTGACCGACTGATTGATTGATTGATTGATGACTGATTGATTGATTAATATAAGCAGTTGAATACCACTCACATCAAGAGAGTTTGACTCAGTTTAAACATCCCGATGAGTGCAAACCACCTGAATTCTGGCTGGCAGGCTAGTTACCTACTTCAATGAACTATTGATACATTCAATCGTAATGGTGATTTGCAGATTAATTAGCGATATACATTTTATTATGCGTGAAATTTATTTTGATAAAGTCTCACAGTGTTAGACAGTAATATTTACTGATGATAACGTCTTGAGCACAATTTATCGCTCATAATCATATCAAGGTAATCACAAGACTTCCTAAATTCATTTATATAGTTCCATTGTTTTTCAATTGATTTGATTGGTAGTATTATTTTCCATATTTCAGGTATGAGTGATGAGTAATTCCTATTGCATGTGTTGGGTGTAGATTCGATGAACAAAGATTCAGTAATCAACCTCTCTGTATCTCCACCTACCTAGAATACCTTTTAGAATTTTGACTCTGTCCCTCCCACTCTATTGTGTAGTTGTGTGTTAATGCATGCAGTGCAATATAGTGCTGAGCTTTTTTCTAAATTACTCATCTGTCTTCATGGGATCAATCATTCTAACCTTAGCTAAATTCTTATGTTCTGACAGACAATCTGACTACTTCTGATCTACTAGTTTGACCTATGTAGTTGACTTAACTCACAGTCATTGCAAGGTATTTTGTAAATTATATTATTTTGTTTAACTGGGTCAACCGACAGGGTCCTTTAGCCTACAGAGCTTGTCCTAATATGAGTGAGTTTGTAGGTTTGAATGCCGCTCTAATTTCTGCTTTATTAGGAATCCTACTTAGGGTCTCAGATGTCCCCTCCGTATATGGTATAACTGTAAGTGCCATGTATTCTGTCATATTTATGTTATCATTATTAGTTTCGACATTATTTTTATTCAGCTTTTGGCCTTCTCTGATCTTACTAATGAATTTTATAGGATGGTTATTTGATACCAACGCTTCTTCTATCTGTTTTATTTCATCATTGAGGCTATTTGTTGCACTATTTAGTGCAGCCGCTGGGTTTGTTAAACACTTAGCTAAGCCAGCCTTCACAGATAGATAACTGATGAGATGAATTAAAGTCTAAATATCTATTAGAATGCGTTGTTTTTTTATAAACGCTAGTGTGTAGTTTACCTTCTTCTTGTGTGAGTACCTTGATATGATTATGAGCAATAGTTTGTGCATGAAATGTCATCAGCAAATATTACTGTATAACACCACACTGTATGACTTTATCAAAATAAATTTTACCCATAATGGAATTACACTGTACCACAGTGCACAAGTTTCATTCTTATGTCAATGATATACATTTTACACAATTCCAAGTGGTTTCGACTGATTCGACTCTTTCTGAGATAAGTCAAACAGTTCAAACTGTGAAAATACTTGATTCTATTTAAAAAATACACAATTCCATCGAATAAAATCATTATCGATTGAAAATGCTGTTGTTTTTTTTACCTGTTTCTGTTTAATTTCTTTCATCAGCATTTCCCATTCTGTATTCTGTTCATTGGTCAACTTTTCCCGTTGTTCTAAAAATGCATTCTGGTGTATTTAAACCAGGGGAAGAAGAACAAAAACAAGAAGGAAAAAGGCACAGAATTATTTTTATTTGAAAATAAGTTTTTCAACTCAAGAATTGATACCTGTTTGCATCAACCTTCAGTTGACTAGTCTATATGCAAATATATATATATATATACATAAATCCCCATAAAGGATCTTGTATGGCAGAGGGTGGATAGGTCTCGGTCTTCCTCTCAAAATGTTTTCATATGACTATGTATCCATAGCCTACTTCTACAAGGTAAGTCCTGTAGGCTGCTTTCGCTTGGCAGGAGTATTTCTCAAAAATGTAAAAGGGTTAATTAGAAAGTCTGACGCTTACAACCGGAATGATGAACATGCCGGTCTACACGAGAGAACTGGAAGACTTTTATCTCAAGCCCATCGTCTACATGAGCATCAGAATCGCCGCTTCCCATTCGGGTATCACTGGAGCGATTGCCTGGTGTGTGATGTCACTGGATGGTCTGCTTTCTCAGAGTATGGCCAGTTCAATCCACCTCCGTTTCTTCCTGCATATTTGTTGCACAGTTGGTTCCTGTTGGATTGGTTCGCTCCCAGAGATCCCTCCATGTTGCTGATGTTTTCTGGCCATGTGATCTTGAGTAGTACTGAGCGAAGATGAAAGTCTGTAGTATGTTTGAAGTACCCTTTGTGACGCGTTGGCCAAGTCTCTGATCCGTATAGTAGCACTGACTGACTTCATATTGGAGTCTAAAATCCGGATCTTATTTTCATTTTCATACTGAGGAGTGCTGTTGATCTCCTCCACACAGACATGAGAGTAATGGAAGCTTCCCTTGCTTTCCCGATCCTCACTTTGATATCCTCATCAGTTTCGTCGGACTGTAGTTGAAACGATACCTTGTGTTTTTCTTGAAGCGGAAAAAGAAGTATTTCATAATGGTGGATTGGTCTGCACTTTAGGTCAGATAGAACTGTGTCACCCAATCGATCTACTGTCAATTTATCTTTTATTTTGAAGATCTTGGACGAAGAGGAAATATCATGTAATAAACTGCACTGAAAATTCTGTACATTATATAAGCACTGTTCAGAATAAAGCTACTACTATTGGTCACCGGCAGTCATAGGAACGGAGCTCCTAACACTGCTGTATCGCATTGTGGATCATGCATCAGGTCAAAAGCTCGGAGTGGGCTGGTCCCTTGAGAAAATCACAACCTGCTTTGGTCTAGGCGTCTTGTCTGGAAGTATCCAAGCCCTCGCACAAACTATAAGATAGTGGTTTGTGTGACGCATCTCTTGGTTCCCATCCTGTAACAAGTTTGCGTTTTAATAATATATACAAAATATATATGTACAACAGTATGTGTCAGTGACACAGCGGTAGAATGTTCGCCAATTACGCAGGTGGTTCAGGGTTTGATCCCCGCCCGACGCAATCCTTCACCTCGCTAAGCCAGCAACAAAGACTGGTAAAAAGGGAAGGTTGGGCATGAGGCGGCTAGCAATCCCATCCCGTAAAAAATAAAACACCACTGCTACCGAAACTTCAAGCCTCTAGCTTGAAACCCTCTATGTTCCAATGGGAATGTGAAGGAACTGAAAAAAAATTATGCGACTGTATTCACACAAAATAATTCGTTATCACTAATAAAAAAGCTATTAGAAAGTAATGTGGTTAGGTGGTTGGAAGGAATAAGCGTGAAATCCTGATTGGTCCAGAGTTTTGTTCTTTCTGCACCTGTCAAGGGGATCTATACGCTAACCTGAATAAATAATCACCCCCTTTAGGAATCAAACTTGTACCAGGCAATGATACAGACTGAGCTAGACGACCTGACAGCTGATCTCTTTTAGGAATGCAAGGGATACGTTGACTGGTCAGTGTATCACCTAGCCTGGCGAGCACCAACACCAATGATTAGACTTATGACATTTGTTACTCTCCATTGACCAATAAATGTGATGTAATACTGTGTCAGGACAGATAGGATACATACTATTGTAAGTGTAGAACCTGCATCAATACTCAACACTGAATACTGAATAAAATTCAGTACTGAATATTGAGCAAATTAAGGTAATGATACTTCGTAAAGCATCTTAGCCAGTGGAGCGCATTATCGTCCTACACTCAACTATTCATAAAAAATACTCCAGTTAACCTAGGCGATCATCTTAATCAGAGAAAAGATGACCATGTTTTGAAACAGTTTCAATTATATCCCCATAGTCGGTGATGATGAGGGTGATCAAATGAAAACCCTAATCAAATCAGGATTCGAACTATTGGCCAAACAATGAAATTCAAAGGCCAGTGATTCAAACTCTGGTGTGACCTAAGTATTTTTTTATTGGTTACAGGATTTCATCATGAGTTGACATCGGTTAGAGAACCAATAGAAAACCACCTGGGAGTACTGGACAACCGACTGTTTCGTCAGCCTAGTTTGGGACTCTGAAGCAGTACGCACCCACCAAGGTTCGAACCCAGGACCATCAGATGTCAAATCACTACCAGTCTACCTAATCCAACATTATCTCAGATTAGTTAGTGTCTCATGATAACAGTTTCTAGCCAGGAGTTATACAAGTATCTTTAAACTTAAGGATAAGAGACTCTAACAACAATCGATTCTCATTATCACATGGAGCTACTGTCACTCAGTCTTCAAGTGTTGGTTTGTAGAAATTCCATGTTAGACTACGAACTGACGTATGCGTTAAAGGACAACTGAAAACCAGAAACTTTTTTCCTCATGAACCCATCAGGGAGTGAACCGAAGAACTTCAGATTACGAGGTGAACTCGTTGATCATTCAGCCACTGGGATGGAATGCAACGGTCAATGAATTCCAATTTCTTCATATTAGTGATAATGTAATATCCCTTTGCCAGCAAATGTCATCAGCGAATATTTGTCATCATACCCGACTTGGTGAACCTCACTAGTTGCTTCCATATTAGTTTGTTTACTAGGTATATCACACAGTGAAACAGTATTATTTACTGGATGACGTTTCGAACAAAATTTATTGTTCATAATCATATCAATTGTGATCACACGACTTTGACACTTGAGTTTCATAGCTTTCTTTGTTCTCTCCTATTTGTCGTGGGGGTAGGAGAATTTGCCAGATATCTGGGACAGGTGATGAATCATTCCTATTACTCGTATTTGCAGTTGATTCGATAAACAAGGCTTCTGTTATCAATCTCTCCCTATTCCTTGTGACATTAGATTTTAAAACTGTCATCCTATCCCATCATCCTATTGTATGGTTGTGTGTAACTGCATGTAGTGCTGTAGCTGAACTATTCTCTATAGCACTACATGCAGTTACACACAACCATACAATAGGATGGGATAGGATGACAGTTTTAAAATCTTATATAACAGCTGGGTGGAGGGAGAGATTGATAACAGAAGCTTTGTTTATCGAATCAACTGTAAATACATGTAATAGTGTAACAACAGAAGACAAGGGCCAGGCAACAGAACGTTTATTACGGAAAATCAACACGTATTTATAGACTTTTATGTACATTATTGTAGGTTAATGTTAGTAGAAAATACAGTCTGTTGATTGGTTGTTTCTCACACAAAGTTAACCTTGCATCTCTTGTGGCTGTGTCAGTTCATCTATATGTTAACTGTATCTGCCTGTCCATCTTGACCTTGACCTCAATAACTGTCAACCAATTTGGCTAGTAGACAGCTCTCACCACAATAGGAATGATTCAACACCTGTCCACCCAGATATCTGGAAAATTCTACTCCCCATAGGACAAATATGAGAAGACAAAGAAAACTATAAAACTCAAGTTTCGAAGTCGTGTGGTTACAATTGGTGAAATGATTATGAAAAGTAATGAATTTTGTTCGAAACGTCATCCAGTAAATAATACTGTTTCATCAGTGTGTGATACATCTAATAAACAAACTAAAATGGAATTACTTACTACCACCACAGTGCCCAAGTTTTACTCACTAGTTGCTAACTGACAGCATTTCGAATTCATTGAGGTTTGACTTCTCTTCCAGTGGCGGATTGGTTAACAGACTATCCTTGTAACCTGAAGGCTATGGGTTCGATCCCCAGTGGAGTCTTGGGACTGCATACTGATGAAGAGTCCCAAACTAGGACGAGACGGGTGTCCAGTACTGTTTTCTATCAAATAGAACTAATCATAAACCAAAAAATTAGAAAAAAATCGAAAATTAGACGAACAAATTCAGAAAAGAAACAAAAATCATACTTCAATAGCAATAATCTCTTCACGATAAGCTCTTTGCATTGCTTTAATTTGTGATTCCATTCTCTCAGCCAATAAATCAATATCTTCTGTACGTTTTTTCAACTCTCTAACATAATGGTCATCTTTTGCTTTTACTTCCTGATCATTATTATTATCATCATTCATATTGATTATTGGTAATTGATTATATATAAAAATCAAACAAAAATAAAGAGAAATCAATAAAATCGCATGAGCAACAGTTAATATCTCATATTGTCAACCTCCAACAATCAATCAACCCAACCGATCAATAGTTGTGGCGTATAATCAACTCTTTTTGGGATAACAAATGGTTGAGATTGACATCTGAATTCTCTCACTCTCTCCACCTAGATTACTTCCAATTTCATTCTTATTCCGCTAATATCTCATATCTGAGTGAAGCGTAGGAGGGGATGTATAGCAGAAATGAGGCAAATAATCTCAAAACCTTGCAGGTTTATCATGTTCTCCTCACTGAAGCCTCTATGCCGAACTTTTATACTGATCTTTTTTTTCATTTCATCGGAGATGGGCAATGTTATGAGGACACGAAAAAAGTGTATATAACTGGGTGGAAAATCTGAATTGTTCAACTCATTCATTTACTACAATACACGTGATAAGATAATCTAAATTTATTAATAGTGATGCATACTACTTAAATGCATGAATATAAGTACTATGTGAACACATTTATGTAGAGAAACATCTTCAGAGGATAGAAAGCTACTTGAGAGGTAGAATTGTGGTGAGAGCTGGCTGCTAGCCAAATTGGTAGATGGTAATTTACGTCAATGATTACGTCCCAAATATTGGTCATGTGAAAACAAGAACAAAGACTGATTCAACAATCAACCACAGCAGACTGCGTAGGTGGATACAATTAGCAGAGAGATGATCTGACATATAAGAAACAGCCACAAAGAGATGAAAGATTAGCTTTTAGTGAGAAGCAACCAATCAGAAGACTGTGTTTTTCTGCTAACAATAATCTATGATAATGTACATGAAAATCTATAAATATGTGTTGGTTTTCCTTAATAAACGATCTGTTGCCTGGCCCTTGTCTTCTCTTGTTACACTACTGCTCGGTTTGTCAGACACTTAACTAAGCCTGCCTTAACAGTTAAAGGATGAGATGAATTAAAGTCTAAATATCTATTAGAATGCGTTGGTTTTCTATAAACACTAGTGTGTAGTTTGCCTTCTTCTATTCGTTTTATTTTACAACCTAACATAGCTAATTCTCCTTACTCATTTTCGTCTTCAAATGTGAATTTTATTCCCTCCACTAGTGAGTTTATGTGTGTCAAGAAGCTAGAGATATGTTCTGTTCTTAACACTGTGAAAGTGTCATCCACATATCTCCACCACATTTTTACAGTAGGATTAAATGTATTCACAGCACTATTTTCCCAGCTATCCATAAATATATCTGCTACGATAGGGGATATTGGTGATCCATCCCATTGCTACACCTTCTGTTTGTCTATATATTTTGCCTTGGAATTTAAAGATTGTAGATGTGAGGCATAACTGAATCCCTAAAATAATTTGTTCAATGGGCAACTTTTTCCCATGACTGAGTTCAGGATTCGCAGTTGGTTCTTTTTTAACTGCTTCTAAGGCCATATTGATTGGTATGCTAGTAAAAAGACTAGTTATATCAAAGCTAATCATTGTTTCATCATTCTCTAGTTGAATGTCATTTGGTTTATTTTTCATCTCATATGAATTAGTTAGTTAGTCTAGAGTTTGAACGATTTCTAATGGGGCATAATATTAGAGATGAGTGTTTCAAAACACTTAGCTCTAATAATCACGTGAAAAATTTCAAATCATACCTGCTGCACAAGAGGTTTCTCTCCGGACCTAGTAGCCCAGTGGATAACTCCTTGACCACTGAACCTACGGATGTTTATTTCAAGTCTAAGTAGCAGCACCATCACTCACTCTGTAACACCGGTACGTTCAGATGACGAATCACAAAAAGGATGAAACACTCACTAACCGGATTTGTGTTCATAATGTATATCACATGGGGATTATTCATACTTTGAAGTAACGTCTGGTTATTCGTCCGAGTGTTGTTGAGGCACACGTTTAACCGACCGATACACCAAAAATGATCATTTCGGTCCAGACATTTCAACAGGAATCTACCACCTACCGTTTCATAGCATTTGAAGCAACATGTGCAAGATTCATTTCTGAGTGGTAAGACCAGCACTCAGTTAAGATGCAGGTACATCCAGTTGACGAGCCCCCCAAAAGGACGAAATCTGCGTCTATCTGGATTTCACTGTACTCCACTACTAAATGTACGACATCTAGTCATTCATCTGCGTACTATCGAGGCACCTCATTTTAGGACCCCATATCCCGAAATTCAATGTGGCTGATCCATTCAGTTTAGGAATACAAGGATATCAAAAGGAAAAAAAGGAAAAAAATATCAGTGAGAAACTTACCAAATTTAATTCATTGATTAATTTGTTCTTCTCAGCTATCAAATCTGTACACAACTTTTTCTGTTTCTCTAAAAGCTTAAAAAACATTTTGTCCATTTTGTTGGTGGTGGTGTTGTCACCGTTGTCAGTTGTTTTTCCCACGAAGGAGAGAGAAAAAGAACATTGAAAAGAAGGTGGGAAGTGAGTAAAGAAAACAGGCTACTATATCATGAAAAGTTATCAAGAGTGAAACCATGCAAGTGGTTCGGATTTAAGTCCGGGCCGACTTCACTCTTCCTAAACCTCGCTTACGCTCAGTAAAGAGGGAAGGTTGAAAGTGAGACGGTGAACTCCTCCACCCCCACCCCGCGTACAAACAACACTACCGATACTGAGACTTCAAGGCTCAAGCTCGAAACTGTGTATGTTTTACTCAAATTACAAAGTAAGGAGATACATAATAATGACAATAGCAGCTTTATTCCAAACAGGAACTGACGAGAATATCAAAGCAAGGATCGGTAAAGCAAGGTAGGCTCCCATTTCTCTCAAGTCTGTGTGGAGAAGGTCAACAGCACTCCTCAGTATGAAAATGAAAATAAGATCCGGATTTTAGACTCAAGTGGGAAGTCAGTCAGTGCTATTATACGGATTAGGAGACTTGGCCAGCGCGTCACGAAGAGCACTTCGAACAAACTACAGACTTTCATCAACAGCTGTCTTTTCTCAATACTACTCAAGATCAGATGGCCGGCAGGCTAGGAAAGATCAGTAACAAGGATCTCTGGGAGCGAACCAACCAACCCAGCAGGAACCGATTGTGCAACAAATATGCAGGAAGAAATGGAGGTGGTGGCCATACTCTGAGAAAACAAACCATCATCAAGTGGCATCCATCACAAAACAGGCGATCGCTCGAGTGGAACCTGAATGGGAAGCGGCGAGTTAGTTGGTCATCAGTGAGAGGGTGACATGGATGAGGTCATTTTTTTTCTTTATTTTCGTTTACGGCTTGATTCCACACAGTACTTTTGGTAGAAGTATGGAATTTTCAGCATGGATATCGGTAGCCCAAATTTTACAGGCCGACCATAGATATCGGGTGTGCGTCGGCAGGTAATCGAACCCCGGACCATGTGCATGGTCGGCGGGAGTCCTAACCACTGTGCTACCGACTCACATGAAGAGGAGATGATGCAAGTATGTGGGCAGACGTGGAGTCAGGTGATAACGTTTGGCAGAGAACGGAATGCAATGGAGACGTGCGACTGAAGCCCTATGTTCCTCTAGGAACCAAAGGAAACAAAAATAATAATAGTATTCCAAACAGTGCGTTTGATACAAATATGGAATTTTCAGCATGTCGTAGTACAGTGTTGCATCTAATTTTCTCATGACAGGGGCAATAATTATAACGGAGGCATTCACATTGATAATAATGTCCAGTAAGTGTATGAATATAAAGTTAAGTCAAGTGGAAATATCAACGACAATGTAACAATGAGAACAACAAAAAACACAATGTCGTTTACTGAGAGTTGCTCAATAAGTTAGTTGGTAGTCCCCTGTCTTACCTTTCTCATCACATAAAATGTGTGCCTGTCAAATAAGGTATTGTAGAGTTTTCGTACTTAGTTTGCCCGAACATATAGTCTTCTTTCTATAGTTGCTTCTATTTCCATCCACCCAATGAGATGTAGCAGGGAGAGAGTTGTGTGTGTGGAGAGGATGTTCAGAATCTGACAGGATAGTATTTGCTTATTTCTTGCAGGAATTCAAGTGTCTACAATATCTACAATAATATCAACGAGTTGGTTTAGCTTAGCGACACCTCACTCGCCCTAATCACTGCTTTTAGTACCCCAGGTAGTATAACAAAGCGCAGGAAAGATTAAGTTGTGAGTCGGTGGCACAGCGGTTATAACTGTCGCTGACCATACACATGGTCTGAAGTTTTATCCCCTGCCGACGGACACCTGATATCAATGGCTGGCCTGCAAAATTTGGGCTACCGATATCACATGCTGAAAATTCCATATATGTACCAAAAATATGGTGTGGAATCAAGGTACAATCAAAAAAACAAAGAAGTATTGGCAGAATACAAGAATTAACAAACGGTTACAGTAAAGGCGGAATGACACCAGATCGTATTAACTTCCTTACATTGAATGTCAAACGAAATATCTTTCTGGAAACTAACATGATGTGGGAAGACCAGGAAGGGTGATCAGAGGAAATATACATTCCAAAGTATCCAACATTCTAATTAGTTTCAACTTCAGTGCCATCTACTATAGTGGAACCATGCAAACTAAGCAACTCATCAGGGGAGTCGCGCTTGCATCGGAAAGTGAAATTAACAACCTGACATATGAATGGATTAACCTTAAGACCATTTGACGAGGACCACTGACTAATTTCCGATAAAAAGTTATTCATTTTGGAACAATCTGACTGAGAAGTAACCGTCGGCATGAAAACAGAGTCAGATCACTGCCATACTTAACAAAATTAGCTTTCTCAGAATGGGGCAAGTTATATAAGAATGTTTAAAATCTTGAGTAGAACATTGGATTTCAAACTTTTGAGCTTTGAAAACTGAGCAGCGGTAGCGTTGTCTTGCTTTTTTTACAGAGGAGTGCGGTTGCTAGCTTCACGCCTCAGCTAGGATAGGCTTAGAACGGCGTCACCTAGGAAGTGAACCTGAACCTCCATCGTGATTGGTGAGCATACTACCATTAAGTTACCGACACACAAGGGGTATACACTACTGATTGACTGAGTGATATGAGTAGTTGGAAGTCACTCAAATCATAACCAGTAGCAGTCGTAGTAGTAGTAGTAGTAATACTAAAGGTGTTTATCATATAACAGCGGAGGCGTCAGACGATGTCAGAAGAGTACTCAATCAGCTCGACATTAGAGTTTTCTTCAAAACATCAGACACACTGCGAAGCAACCTTTTCCGTATAAAAGACCAAATCCCTAAAGATTCTCTATCTAATTGTATCTATAAAATAAAATGCTTGGAATGTGATGCGATATAGATCGGACAAACATCTCGAGAAATCAATATCAGAAGAAATGATCACCTTAGAGCATCTGTTCGACTACTGAGAAATCCAGTTAAACTAGAGAAGTATGAAAAATCACCAGCCATAGGTCTACACGCTATTCTATGATTCTGACAATACTGAAATAATCCAGAAGTATTTCAGAAATCACAAAGAGCGTTGTCCGATATCAGAAGCACTTCATATCAAATGGAATCCAAATTGTCTGAATAGGAATGATGGACTAAAACAGAATTTGACCCCGTTACAAGACCCCCTTGCCCCATAAAACGAATGTGATAGGCGATTTCATTATGTAAATACACGCTGCTTTTATGATTCTACACACTTATCTAATCCAACAATCTACATCTGGTTTCGTTATCTTACCGATTGGGCAATTTGACAACAACGCTAAAATGACCCCATGTTGATGAACGATGATTAAATTTCTTATATATAATAATAATAATAATAATATATTCTCATTTTTTACATGAAAGGATTTTGTAAATTCTGGTTTAATAATACTACTTTGACAAAGCTATTAGCAGCAGCATTAAATAGCGAAACGTCAGTAAAAACACAATAATATCGTTTCGTTTTTCATTCATTCATTCACTGGGAAATACAAAAAAACCTTTATTTTAACGAATATATCATATACCCAATGGCCGAATTTTTCCAAACTGTTAAAATTGAACTTGGTTTAGACATATATAACTCTTCAAGAATTAGTTTTGTAGGGATATTTTAGTTTGATTGGATGGGGGATTTCATCATGAACTGACATCAGTTAGAGAACCACTGTGAAACCCTGGAGTACTGGACAGCTGTTTCGTCCTAGTTTGGGGCTCTACAGCACTAGGCACCCACCGGGGTTTGAACCCAGGACCTTCTGGTTACAAGGCGTGCTCGTAGACCATTAAGCCACTGGGACCCGATCCAATGGCCAGTCCATGAATTCTAACTTCTGCCGGCCAATTCATGACATAGCGTGACCATTTCGCAATGTCTTCTTCGATGATGAGTTACTGCCTCATCTTCAACCTGCTGTAGCCTACTGGTCACGACTTCCCACTAGAACCCCAGACAACTACCTACCTGAATAGGGCCAGTCGCTAGTGAGCATCAGATTAATTTTCAAGTATTGGTTCTTTTGTAGGTATTTTTTAGTTTGATTGCGTGGAGGATTTCATCATGAGCTGACATCAGTTATATGAACTTTATATAAATGAAAAAAAAATTTTTTTAATAAAGTACAATTATATTTTAATAGTTTACACACAATGATAAGTTTTGTTATTGGTAATATTTTTTTCTTCTAAATTAACACAACTTACCTCTCTTGTTTCATCTACTAATTCACTTTCTTGTACTATATCCCATTGTTCAGTTATCTAAAAATGCATATGTGTATATAAAACTTATTTTAATTAATCAATGAGTAAGGTCAACGGAAGTGTAATGGAGGGAATGTTTGCAAAATGACAAGAGATGTGAAAATGTTGAAGTCAAATTATCTGTTCAGCAAAGTAAGACAAATGTGGGTGGAGAGTGGGGATTCTTAGCACTGTTGACACAAAAAACAATAAACAAATTTTGGCCAAGTTAAACTTTAAGCACCACTAACTACCAGTGGAGTGCGACCGCACCAATGACCTTGAAATGCTCACTGAGCAAGTTAGTGGAATCCGGCAAATAATATGGTCATCATCAATAAAATATATGCTCATCGAAGTATTGTATTATTAAATAGGATATCTGGCAAGTATCAGCTTAGGTTTGCGAAAGATTAAGATGCTCTTCAAGCCAAGGACAAGTTAGAGTTAGGCTAATCTAACAAAGGTGACAGTAGGTTTGGTTCAAGTAAGATTACAGTTAGTTTAGGGATATTTTCAGGTTAGAGTTAGGTTCAGGAAAGATTAGGGTTACTGTTAGAGTTAGAAATAAGACTATCTGTCAAGTTTTGTAAGCATATTTCAAGAAATGTATGCCTTAGGGGGAGCAGATAGTTAAGAAGCGCAATTACCAGACACCTCGTAGTTACGGAACACTTTGTTAAGATCTCTGAATCCTTCAAACTATTAAATATGTAAAGGACACCAAGTTTACGACGAATCCCGGTCAACCTTATACATACAGAAAGTCAGTGTGACCAAACTCTCATTCCCTTAATAGCTGTATCTTGATTTTTAATTGCATAATCTTTCATATCAGTGATTTCAGCTTATTTAGTTGGTTCCAGGTTTATGAAATGTGATTTCCCTGAGTTTTCGCGCTACTTTGTCAAGGGAACCATGACTATGAATTCTGCGCTATACAATAAGGATTAAACTAACAGTAAACAACTTTGTGAAATGATTTCCAAGTTCTCAATTATCTATCCTTCAATTACTTCCGTTGTGGAGTTGCAGCGCATTGGTCTGAAAGCCCTATTTCTAAACAGTACCTCTTCACCTGCTGAAGTTTATGCAACTAGGTAGTATCACTAGCTCTCCCTCCCCCCACCCCTGCCTCGTTAACTGGTGTGGCTCACTGTCAGCTGCATGAAGCTGTTGAGATTCACATTCCTCTCTTTCTCGCTAGACTATTTAGCATTTCATTTTTATTCCACTAATGCACCATATGTAGATAAAGAGTGGAAGGCAATGCATAAAAGTGCGCCAAACAGGACCAAAAGCACACATGTTTATTGTGTTTCTTCTGTGAGATCTCTATGCCCAACCCCTAGATGGCTTATATTTATGCTTCTTCAAAGATAGGCAATACTATAAAGCCAAAAAGGTGAATAACTAACAGCGAATCTGAGATGTTCAACTCATCCCTAATATCTGCACCACAAAAGCTGAAATTTTATGCAACCCAAAAACAAGCCTCCCACATCTATGCTGAGATTTCACCAGCCACCAGCCTACCATGATTAATATGGCTCCATACTGAAATGAAGTAGTAAGTACGATCAACCAGTTGATAACTCCGGGCTTTATCTTTGTCTTCTGTTAAACAAAAACTGTGTCATCTGCATAATCTTAAGTAAGTAGAGTGGGACCTTTAAAGGTTCCACAGGCTGAAATCATACCCTGATGTAAGATTTTGGTCAAATTCTAAGTGGTATAATATGGTGAGGGTGTTATGTAAGGAGGGAAAGTGCACTGATGAGACTGTAAAGCTGCATCAGTTGAGATAGCCAGCCTATGCGTTGCATTTGCTGAGCCATCCCCTTCCTTAACGAACAATGTTAGCCAACATGGGATTAGGTTGGATCAATCCATAAGCCTTTTGACTTTTGGTATGAGCTAGCCACTTAGGGAGGTGTAGACTGTTTGATTTTGGTCCTCAAGATGCTAAGAGCTAGTGGCTTTAAGACTCTTAGTGATATGACTTAGAATTGTGCTCAGTAGTGTTGATACACTTGTAGTGACCCATGTTATTACTCATCATAGTACTACACTTTCATTGTGTAATTGTACTTTGATTTGTTTATTACTCTAAATCTTGCATGTTAACAATTGATACTTTTTGTACTCGCTCGATTTTTGAATTTTGATTGCTGCAATAATACACTATCGTATTCCTTCGCAAGTGCCTTTTGAATTACGTTGTGGATGTCGAGTAATCACAACGTTAGCACACAATTATAAACGCGAGGAAGTACTAGAAGATACGTGTACTCTAGTTTAGTCAAAATATAGTAGCACAACAAAATGGTGAGCCCGACAGAGCTGATTGATGGACTACATCATTTCGAAGTATACACAGTGGAATAAATCATCTTTGCCATCGCATTAACTTTTGTAACTTCATTACATTTGGATGTATAATTACTGATATTTCTGATAAGAGTACCTCCGGACCTGGCGGCACAGCAACTGCTATCCCAGTTCACCCTGATACTCAAGCAGATATAGCAGCTGGCTGTTATGCAACACCTCAATTCCAGTTCTCTGTCCTCAAGCTTCAGCATTGTCTACAGGTGTGCAAACACTCTTACAATGGTCTGCAACTCCATTTACTAAAGCCGGTCCTACAGCTGTTCAATTACAACAGTTTACCCAACCACCTCAACAACAACAGATTCAAGCACAAGCTCATCAGTTACAACCAGCTCAACAGCAAGCTTATATCCAACAACATCAGCAACAATCAACAATGATGGCAACTGACGTCTCTGTCAGTGGTCAACCTTGTACTGTAGCTGCATGCTCCGATGTTACTCCCCAGTTTATCACTCTGGTACCAGGAGCTCCATTAAAAGTCATGACTGTTGGTCATAACGATCAGTTGATCCAAATCACTGGTATACCACAGTTTATGCCAACTGCTCTTGTTGGAATGGCTATCAATCAACCAACTTCTACTCTCCAACCTAAGCAAACATCAATTCAAGTTACTCCTCAACGCCGAGTAACAACACCCCAGCAACAACAACAACAACATACTGACGGACGTTCACTTTCAACTGTATCAGCAGCAGCTACTGCTGCACTCTTCTCTGGCACAGCCATTTCTTCTTGCACAATTCCACTTGTACAACCAGCTTTCATGGAAATAGAGGTAACTAAATGTTTACCCAAGTCATTCCCATACTTCCTTATTACTATACTATTAACTGTATGTTAAGATATAAATCTATTCTGTAACTCTTTACAATAACAACCTCATTATTATTCTAATAATAATTTTTCTGCTTTTATTGTTACATGTTGCACAACTTTCTAAACATTTTAGTTCGTTTCAAAGTTGTTAACATTTTCGAATATATACAGTTATAATCGAACCTCAGAAAACTAAAAAGCCTCAATTCGGTTTTCATATATTTTGTCCTTGTAATTTACAATATCATTCCGAATACAGGTAAACTTCATTTACCTGCATTCTACGGAGGGGCTATTGTAGTGACCCATGTTATTACTCATCATAGTACTACACTTTCATTGTGTAATTGTACTTTGATTTGTTTATTACTCTAAATCTTGCATGTTAACAATTGATACTTTTTGTACTCGCTCGATTTTTGAATTTTGATTGCTGCAATAATACACTATCGTATTCCTTCGCAAGTGCCTTTTGAATTACGTTGTGGATGTCGAGTAATCACAACGTTAGCACACAATTATAAACGCGAGGAAGTACTAGAATATACGTGTACTCTAGTTTAGTCAAAATATAGTAGCACAACACACTCGCTCTTTACTAAATTCCTCGTGTTTTTCCATGTGATAATTCTTTCTTTTGCACGTTTCGTGTCATTATAGCTCCTCTGAATTTATATTTTTTCCGTATCTTTTGGTGCCACATGAAGTTGAGCAAATTGAACTGCTGCGCTTCTGTGTAAGGTTCTACTTTGAAAATCGGTCAGTCAGTTAGTCACGATCAAAGTACTCTGTCGATATGACTATACCTATCAATTAGTTGTGCTTACCTTGCCACTGATACCCCAACAGCAGTAAAACATTAGTTTTTGGAGAAGACTAGGTTAACTGAAGTAAAGCGAAGTTTTTCTAAAGGCTAATGAAAATGCAGCATGGAAGTCTGCTGAAAATATATCAGTCAATTCATATTGTTCAAAAGGTTCCTACGATTTAAAAGCTCCCCCCAGAATTTTCCAAAAATGCTCCTTAAATTTTCTTAAAATATTTTCACAACTTTCCATTTCACTTTTTTCAAGAAGCACATCGTTCAGTGCTAAACTGCTTGTTTTTGAAGGAAAAGAAGTGTTTATAGAAACAGAAAGCTAAAGTACTGAAAATATTGGAAATCTCGCAAGACTTTTATCAGCAAACGTCTATTAGATAATGAGGAACACACTTTTGTAGGAATTTATATTCCTATATAAGGCTTACAATGCAATATCTCTCCCTACTGATAAGGTAGGTGATACAGCTGAATCAGATGCAGAAAAATCCATAGCCTTCAAGCAATAAGCTACGGATGGCTAGTGATGTCATTGATGACGTCCTACAGATGATAAAAACCATGACTAACAGTAAACTAGTATTATCACAGCTATCTAACTTTAATTCTGATAAGTAATCAGGGTCAGATGGACCAATTAAGGCTTAGAAGATTTTGGTTTCATGCCCTGCCTTCAAATAAGGCAAGAGGCAAATATTTTCCAACTATCGTCCGGTCATCCTATAGTGTATTGTTGCTAAGATACTGTAGAAAACCATAAGAGGTCAGATCTAGTCTCATGCGGTAAAATTTGGCTCATTGCAGGAAGAGAAGCACGGCTTTGATGTTCAGTAAAGCATTCAATAAAACATCCCATTTGATCTTATTATGAGAACCAGATAACATCTCACATGACTGGAGTAAACAAAGCAAACGGAGTATTCTCTGGGTAAAACTGCCATCAGCGAGGTTTCGCACTGCACTATTTTGGGGTTTTTCTACTATTATCAGTATATACTAACGGAAGAAAAAGAATTCAACACCCACCATCTTTACTATTTTCGGATGATAACTGACAGTAGCTCAGATAAGTCAGCTTTGCAAACTGAGTTGAATGGATTAACTAAATGGCTGAAACACAGAAGTCTACAAATCGACTACATCAAAGGTAATACAACATGCCTAGGCTATCGACCTGACTTGACTGTTTCTCTGGTTAGTCTACAGCCACCTAATGTTTGACGGCGGAAGGATTTAGGAGTCATCGTCAACTATATATATTGAGACATTTAGAATTTTATAATGCAGTCAGAACAAGGGTATTCAGAGTACTTTAAATGTTTCACAAGGATTTAAAATGTCCAGATATCTGAGCTGATTACTTGCAAATTATGTTTGACTTCATCTTAAATAAGAAATACAGAACGTTAGTTCCAACTTCAAAGAGGTACAGAGCAAAGGCTGGTAAGGAAATTCTCATACTCTTACTTTCGAGAAGGGAAAGACAAGTCTACACATTTTTATTATTACATCGTAGGAACAGGGACAATTCTAGTTTTGAATATTTTATTTTAAATGATAAAGAAGGTGCTAGCTGTTCTAGTAGTTTACCCCCGCTAAATCAGATTTTTAAGAAATCACAAGAGAAAGGTCAAATAGCCATAAGTGGAGACTTAGTTCTCAAAATAGTGGTCATCCACACAATACCGAAATTAATGGTATTCTTCCTGTCAGAAAGTGCTGATAAAAAGATGCTGGATCTTGCAGAAAATACCCAGTATAGTGTGTATCAAATTGTGGACGGAAAAATGTCCACGTTTTTACCCACTTCACCCATGTTCACGGAAAGACTATTCTACTGGGCACGAAGACTTGAAAACACTACTGCAAGCATACTTTACTACATAGTTAAATACTGAAGACAGTAATGCTACCAAACTTTGCAGTATGAGACTTTATAGGTAAATTAGAAGGATTATTGATTACCCAGAAGCTAACTGACCTTGTTAAATAATTCCAGGCTATTCGTTGCGTCATTTTCAAGGTTTTGAACTCTTATTTGATTTAATTCATGGTCCTCAGCCCTTTTGAGATTTTCACGAGCATCACATGCAACGCGAATATTAGTAACAAAAGAGTCTCCATCACGAATCAGCTTGGCAATCCTTTGATTGCTTTGTTCAATCTGAGCTCTTCCCAACCCAACTTCATGTGCTTGTTCTTTAGTTGTCGTGGTGAGAGTGTCAGCTCTATTTATAAAAGTGAATTAATCCCTGAAATGGATGCACTTGCCCTAACATTTCCTGTCTGTTTTTTATCCGCAGTCTACGTGCTGCGATTCTTTGCTCAATGTCATCGGAATCTACCGATGGTCCTACATCTTTGATTTCCTCTTTTTTAAAGTAAATTTTCTTAGTATATTTATTCATCGTCATTTTTTAAATGCTTGCACTTCAGTTGTTATGACAACTGCAGCCTAACATTAGTAAAACATACAGCTGCTGTTTCAATCACTAAAGGCAAGTTTTTTTAACTCTAACGATTCACATATTGGGAAGAATAAAATCCTCCGGATGATTATTTTCATAAATTATAACTGTGCGTCGGTGGCACAGCAGTTAAGACGCTCGCCGACCAAGCACATGGTCCGGGGTTCGATCCCCGACTGGTGCACTCCTTTACCTCGCTAAGCTAGTAATAGAACTGGCAAAGACGGAAGGTTGGGCATGTAAAATAAACACTGCTACAGAAACTTCAAGCCTCTAGCTTGAAGCCCTATGTTCCACTGGGAACGTAAAGGAATAAAAAAACATGAATAAACACAAGTGCAAGGTGCATTCGATCCAGTATCCTTTTTACAAGCCACTCAGTATCGTTTTCTACGAGCTAGTGCAAACCAGTTTGATCTCTTCTTGGCCGCTTCTTGGTTGTGAGTTACAGATTTCCTATCTCTGGTAAATGTCTGCGTAATGCGTTCCGTCACACAACTGTCGTAGCTCAGGTCGAGCTCAAGGAGAGTGGTTCTGGAATTGGTTATATATGGCCTGTGAGTTTTCTGGTGTTAAGATCGGGTTACTACTGCGAGTGGAGTTGATCCTTTCATCCGCTAGTCACCTAATGTGGTCAGAAAGAGGGATGACAGTAATATATGTAATTAGTGTAGAATATGTAAACTTTTAAAAAAACAGACAAACAGATAGATAATGGAATTCGTAACTAATATATGTATTTATTTATTTGAAGATGACAGCAATATAAGTGAATGAATAGATACAACAGCCGGACAAGTAAGATGCAGGAGAATGATCAGTAGTAAAAGGGCGGGTTTAGATGTATGTTCCCTAATAGTGTTTCAGTTTAAGGGGTTCAGGCAGTTTCGACGCAATCTTTGTGTAGCCGTGCGATTTCCCAGCCTCCACTTAGAGCTCTCCACGGACAGTGTGGTAGAAAAGCCCGTCGGTAGATAGTTCTAAAGGCAGCAAACCCAGAATGAAAAGAAATGCTGGAGAACTTGAGTCTTTGCTCTGTGGTGTGCTGTCCTTCTTGGATTGCCACGAGGAAGCCCATACGTACTTAATGGCAGAATACCTTTAGTTTGTAACTTTTCAGGCAGTAACTGAGTCGTCCCTAGGCCAATGGTAGCCAAGTGTGAAAAGATCTAATTTCAGCAGTTCATCTCTGAGACGCCTCAGCCCTTTTGTCTCCCGTCTTCGAACTTTCCAAGAGGTTAGCGTCGCTTCTGAGTACCGGAGGAGTAATGATATTCTCCACTTCAAGGTGTGGTCTTACGTATATTTTGTATAACCCAGAAAAACTTCAGGAGTGTCCGCACCTCATATACCATGTATACGTTATCCATTTGATTCATGCTTGTGTCCGTTTCCTCCGTCAGAACTAGGCTTAATTCACGCTCTGACATCACGCAGGACAAGCTTTTGCTACACTCGGAGCAACTTACATTCTGCAGCCTACAGGTGCGTAGATGCACTGCTTCGTATTTTTCTAAGGTCTAAATTCACACCAGTGACCAATGCCCAGGATTCCAGAATATTCAGGTCTGCTGGTGGCCTGAGTCTTCCGCGCACTCTACTACCTTCTAAATTCTTACGCCGTCAGCGCAAAGAAGACGGCATGGTAGGTTATTGATAGAAATCAAAAACACATCACTACATCTGTAGAACAGTCTAGCATGCTTACACAGGTGGTTTCGAATCTTTATGGGGATGAATTCGGGCTGTGTAGGCCTCGTTTTCACCTGTCTTCCTGGAGCGGTGAAGTCATGTCAGAATCCTAGGTTCTCATAGAGTAAGCTATCTATGTACAGCCGACCCGCATGTAAGGAACAGCTCCCAGTCTAGAGTGCGAATGTATGGTTTCAGGTTATCCCAGTGAGCGTGTCTGTAACCCCTGAGTAATACTTTGTTAGCGCTTATTGTGGAACTCATGCCGGTGTAAGTATTGAATGTGCCAGAATGACTCCATGAATTTCCCCAGTTTTCTGTATCAGCCATTAGTCGGGTCTATTATTTTTTAACTTACCGAAACAGTCACCGTTGATATATTGGCTTCCAGTGAGAAAGCCCGATCTTATATTTGCGTCAGCATCATGTTATTCGGTTGATGGTGGCCAACAGAGAAGTCATTGAGGTGCGTTTAATTTCTTATGACATTTTCCGAAAACGTATGTCCGCATCAGCGGTGGATGATGGAGTTCTGTGTGAGACTTGAACCCAAAAGTGACATGTAGCTAGTTGATGCACTGACTAATGCTGATCAGCAGACAAGGTAGTGGTCACAAATGTCAATTGCTCGGATCTGTAGGACAGCAACATTCATTTTAGATAGCTCGAGAATTCAACGTGAGTTTAGATCCTGAATACTCATCAATAGTGACTGCACAGATCTAAATTATAAGAAATTGCTTTTGCTCCTAACATCTACAAGTCTACTCAGCTTCTTGTCCATGCCTGTATATCTGGTGTGTCCTACATGGGTAGGAATAAATATATATTATTATATTACCCCATGGGCCATACACAAGTTCGCCAGATATCTTACAGGTCAGCACATCCTACAGGTTCTATTCTTTCGAGCCACTTCCCTCTGGAATGTCACTCATATACTTCACGATAATCCTTTTATCTAATTAATACTATACCCTATTTTATCTCAACTCCCTGGGCCTTTGATAAAGTTAAAATTTGCTCCTTTCATTCACACCCTTTACTCGTTTTAAGTCTGGTTGCTTTGATGATAAACAAAACAACACCTATGTTCGAGAATAACTATATTTTCATCGAAAACGTCATAGTTTTCTACGATAAGGCCAATATGGTTAGCACTGAACATTGCAAATGTGTACTATCATCCCAAGTACTCTATAGCTCCTTCTTGTATTTATCTTGTAAATGTACTTCCAATGATGTACTATCCGTAATTGCATTTTGTACCATTTTGAAGCCTCTCAGGACGTTCTTTTCTGCCTGAAATAGCGTTTAATCACGTGGGGCAAAGCACCTACCCAAATATGTGCTGCTTATCGGTTGGCCATGACTACCAACAGGCAACGGAATGGAGTATAGGTTGTCGCTCAACTTTGATGGTGACCTTAGTGAGGGGTTAATAATTTAACATTCATGCGAACCTGATTGCTTGCACTACAATTCAACAATTTAAACTTCTGAAAAGGTTCCAATCCATGCTAATTCACAATTGTAATTTGTAACATAACCGATCGTGCCTGTAAAAACTGCATGCATTTTTGTCACCATCCGTTCAGAGAATGTTTGAACTATTATTATCACGTCTTAGTCGCACGTAAAATATCTCAATATTAAGTGTTGGTCTGCAGTTATTTAACTGGTTATGCGACTGATCACTAGCAGACATCATTCGGATATCAACTTGGAAATCTGGAAGTACTGGACCACTTTCTCGTTTTAGCTTGTGACTCTTAATAGATACTCACTTGCCAGAGTTCGAACGCGGGATCTTCCACTTGCAGGGCAATCTCGTAGACCACTCAGCCGCTGTAACCCGATCCAATGCGCCTAGAATTCCAACTCCCGCGAATTCATTATATATGACGAAACCGCCAGCCATTTTCAGAGATCAGTAACTATCCTCTTACCAGGCCAACCAAGAAGATAGTTACTCGCCTATGAAACTGGCTGGCGGTTTCGCCATATATATCGCTAATTTGCGGGAGTTGGAATACACTGGCTGTTACAGCCACTGCACGAATAACGCCTCAAAGTTATGGACTCGCAGTCTTTGGCAAAATCCCAAACAATGCTAAATTGCTTTGAATAGAATTATTTTGACGATAAGCTGTCGGAGAACCGCAAAATTATTGTTTTTAGCAGAATGTATCAGATAATCATGGTAGAAACCTTCAGAAATGATGCTATATTCCATCCGAACGCCGAGAGCACAATGGCTGAACAAAATACAACCCCCAGCTAACAGGAATGTAGACTCACACAAAAAATGTACAACAGTCCAACGAACCACAAATGGTTTGATTAACACAAAATGAAAAATGGTACAGGAAGTACAACATCAACGTTTTAAGGTGCAATATTAGACGTAATATGAACCCTTAGATCTATTCCCAGTAGCTAAATAGCCCACGAGCTTGCTTTAAAAATGGAAGGTTACATTTTAACATTCCAGAAGTATCATATTTTTACCGCAATGGCCCTATAAATACATATATACATGGCGGTATTCGGGATTCCATGGTAATAGGATGCTGAATGTAACACATTAATACACCTATTAGATACGCAGATATACTAGATTCAGTTTTTACTTACAACAAAGCCCTATCTCCAATGCATATGTGACATGCGCTGATAAATTTCTATCATAAAATATTAGTGTCATTGTTTGATATCCTTCCTTGAGCAGCGCTCATAGGCGGAAATATGAGGCTGTAGGAGCATGACGATTGGATTTCGTATCGGAATCTAACTAGACATTTTAACCGGGGCTCAGTTTACGAATATGTCCACAGAGAATTCGCCTTACAATTTCTGTGACAATATAAGGCCAATCCATGAGTCGTTGCACATGGTGACAATACCAACTTTAGGCTTACCAAGGTGATTATTTTCCAACATCAGTAAGTCTACGGAGACACACAAAAGATACTAGACACAATGATTTACCATAATTAACTTCTATCGACTCTATCACAAAGAGAATTCAGGAATCATAACCACAACCTCAGAAATAAAGAATCTGGGCGGTTTAGTTACCCCATGACACTACAGAAATAACCTAACTTCTCGAAAATGGAATGATAGGCTGCAAAGTAAACCGGCCGAAGTTAATACGGTTATTTTTCTGTGTATTCAAGCACTCATGGGATATGTGAGGTGTTTAGCTGGTACTTTTCCAGGCCGTACACTGTGGAGTAGCCGCA